CTGGTAATAATAAAGACCTTACATGGTTAACTAAGGTCTAAAATCTCAATCTTGGTGGTATGATCATATATAGATGCTTGAAAAGTTCAAGTATCTATTAAATTTAGGTTAGCTTATTCCTTTGGAGATCTATCGCCCTTTGCTTCCCTCAGGTGTTTACAGATGTTGCCCATGTTTACATGCCTCAGCAGGTAGGTGGGCAAGCCTTGTTCTCAATAACAAAACGTTGTTTCAGCTTAAATTAACAATATGCACCTTTTGTTAATTTAACTTTATTGTTCTGTGGAAATTAGTAGTGATGTAGGTGCATTAAGAGCTTTGGCTGGTAAATATTGTGGTTTTCCTGCCTGCAAACTCGCTGCTAACACGGAGCTAAGTTAGTTACTGCTGTTAGTCAAACTAGGATCTGTTTACTTTCTACGTTAAAAAGTTTAACGAAGCTAACTGCATCTTAACACTGAAAACACTAGCGAGTCAAAGTTACCACCAGTTATATGTGCCCGGTTTTTAGGGACCAGCATGCAGAGTTTAGGAGATAAAACACTACAGGATGTCCAGGTGAGATTAGCTTCATGGTCAATCCACACAAGGCCAATATCGCCACCGTTAGCATAACACCCTGCACACGACACAAACTCCATATTAACAAGTTCAACTTAGCTAGCTTAGCTAACTTCGGGCTCTGGGTTAAACAAGCACATTTTAAATGTTTGTTTTTTTTAAAGATGAAATATTACCAACCTGGAACTTCACTTCCGTGTGGCTGCTTGTCAGTAAGTTGGGAAAAACTACTCCGTCCCGACGCGGTTCCTGACAGTTGAGGTTTGACAACCGATGCTAACGCGTTAGCTTGGTCGCGAGCCGAGTTACATCATGTGACCGAGCCGCTGGCAGCTCGCGCAGCGGCCGCTGAGCAACCGGAAGTAGAGCAGCTGCGAAACCGGAAGTGGACCGGCTGCTAAACCGGAAGTAGCTAAACGCCCCGTGTGCTGCCTTAAAGGCACGAGAAAACTTTTAGGTTATTATTATGAATCCATCATTCAAAACATTTAAAAATAAAAATAAACAAAGAGTTAGTTATATTCTGTCGATTTTTAACTAATTAATGACTTACAAATGTTCACTTATGATAACGTACATAAATACCCAGACACAATTAATCCAGTCCCTTGATTGGATGGTGGTCTAATTTAATACTTGACCAATGGCTGATCTCTTAGTAATCTTGATCTGGCAACTGTTTTAATTTAGTATCTAGTATTCTAGTGCTTTTTAGTACTTTTAGTAGTTGTGTTAATTTAGTATTCTAGTGATTTTGTAATATACTTTGTGAACTGTAGTGTATGTTGTGTGTAATGTCCTAAGCTGTCTATCTATCTATCTATCTATCTATCTATCTATCTATCTATCTATCT